TTTGAATATTACATGTTAATAACTTGATTGGAATTATAACCTTGAGTTGACAGTTTGATACTTTGAAAATTTTGAGCCAGCCCTACCCCCAAGGGCTGTAGGGTGGGGCTCAAGGGAGTCAGTGTGCTAAAATTTCTTCATTTTCCTTGTTTAGAATCAGAGGTGCTAGTTTCAAATCCTTTTTAGTCTGAAATCTGTATGCTTGATATTGAATAAGGTGGTTTTATTGTTTTTTGTCACTTTGAATAATATTTCTGTTCATGTTAAAAACGAAATCAACTCTCTGTATAAATATATCAGGTGACCGTTAAGGCCCATGGGCCTCTTGTTTTTTTTAAGTTCCATGGGTCAGATTCTGCATGCTCAAAATTATGCCATAAATCAAATGTGTGCCTGTACCTGCTAGAGACAAAACAACTCTTTAAAATTACATGTTTTTGAGTTGTTCTTTCAGGTGAAAGCATTAAGATATAAGAATATTGGAATAGTTTAGGAAATTTAGTGGTTGAAAATAAGAGGTTAAGGGTCTAAAGTCTGGAGCCTCCCGCCTAAATAGGGAGAGCTGGCAGGTATGCAGTTTGCTGTAGAAGTATCATAAACAGATTTTAAAACTTACATGTCTATATAGTTATGTGTTTCTGGCAATGAAGAATATATTCAGACTAGTCTGATGGTGATCATTCTGTGTATTATATGTTGATAGTATATTTCTAGCCCACCATTTGATCATGTTGATGGTGGGCTGTTCAAACTACCCTTCATCCTTGGTCCGTCATGATCATCTGACCTTAACCCTTTCACCACTCTGGACTATAATGGACTCATCCAGATCTATGTATGGTAGAGTCTACTAAAGTTACATAGGGGTGAAAGGGTTAAGCAATTATTGTTATTGCTATTTCTCAAGAGATATCGGATGGATCTTTCTCAAATTTCACATGAAGGTTCATTTTGGTTTGTAGTTGTACATATAATATTTTTTGAGACTGATTGGAAAAGCAAGATGGCCACCAAGCAGCCATATTTGATTTACAGTTAGTAAATTTGGAATTATAAAAATACTTAACTGAGGCTGTATAAATATTACAACTTTATTTACTTTTATATACTGATATTATTGTCATTAGATATACTGACTGTGTTGTTGTGTTACAGTTGACCACACTCGAGTGGTGTTGAGTAATTAGATATACTGACTGTGTTGTTGTGTTACAGTTGACCACACACGAGTGGTGTTAAGAGACGGTGACCCCAACGTGGTCGGCTCCGACTACATCAACGCCAACCATATCACGGTAAACCAACTTAGACAAAGCATGTATTAACCTCCAAAACTGTATATTACAAACTGGAAAATGTCATTGTCCGATGTATTGTTGCCCTGACCACATATTTATATGTGTTATACAGCAGTATAAGCTAAAAGAAATCTCTCTCCAAATACATGTTAAATGTGGTTACCAATTACACCTATCACAACATAAATCTTGTAAAAGGAAAGCTTGTATGTCTCGTTAGTTCAAGCTAGCAAAGTATTACAGTAAATTTACCTGACAGGTAATGATTAAGGACTATAATTGACCTGTTGTATACCACTTTATGATCAAACATTTACATTTCCATTGCAAGTTCCTCTATAAATATTACCAGAAGAAATTGTGTTCATATATATAGAGAGAGAGAGAGCTCTATGAACCCATTTTGATAAACATCATTTTGACTTTATTTTTCATATGTTCATACTGGTATGAATGCATGATCCATTACATTCATATTTACCATGTAACCCTAGAGGGCTTCATGGAATATGTATGTAACCAATTTGCATTCAGACTGGCATGATTTTTTTAAAATATTGTTCACTCCTTCTATGATTGTCTGATTATAGCCCTCTCAGGTAACACAGGAGTTTAACGACGAATGCTGGTATAGTTCAAGTTTATTTCAACTCGGATACAAGGGTTCTCACTCCCTTTCAGTTCTTTATGCGGTTTGTCATAGCTGAACGTCTGCGAGCTGTACCGAGTCCTTTTCTTGGTTTCTCTGCCATTCTGTGTCTCTCTGATGTAGATCTTACATGCATCTCTTATTTACGGTTGGTTTTGGTCAAGCTTTTAAAAGTGTCCCATCTATTTGTGTCACAGACAGAGGATGACAGTATGGAGCCGAAGAAATGTTATATCGCCACACAGGGCTGTATGCCCACCACAGTCGGCGACTTCTGGAGGATGACCTGGCAGGAGAACTCCCGCGTCATTGTCATGACAACAAAAGAGGTGGAACGAGGAAAGGTAAGAGTTATGTCCCTTTGTTTCATTAAAAATTGGTGAAATGCTGACCTAGCAAATATTTCTTATATATTATGATTATATTATGGTATTTTAACTATAATCATTAAGTTGTGTCCTGTGTTTGATTTAAAGGTTTGATGACATTGCAAAAAAAAAATATGTTGAAAATCTTTATAAAAAACAATAATATTTGGTTATTTCTTGCACAAAATAAAGAATTTAGAATCGACTTGACCATGCTGTGATCTGTACAAAAGATACGAAAATGTCAATAATATAAATCCTACCCATTCTGTACCAATATCCTCAAACTGATTTAACGTATCGCTGGCCTTATTTTAAAGGTGAAGGCCTGTCGTTACTGGCCCTGCCCTGAAGATCCTGACGATGTCTTAGAGCGATCATTTGATACATACCAAGGCAAAGTAACAGTGAAACATATTAGTCAAAAAAGTGAAAGTGACTTAATAATTCGAGAATTTGAAGTGTCAAGGGAAAAGGTTAGTATGTATATTGTGCAAACAATATTTTTTTGTGTATAGGGAGGCGGGGACATCAATTGCTTAAAACCTTACTTAAGTCATTCACCCCTTAAATTTCATAATGAACTATTCCAACCTTTGAATTGAAAGAGTTCAAATGTGTCTTCAGGGGTGAATGAGTTAAGTCTCGGTGTTGATTTTCAATAAGTGTAGGAGATAATACACATCACATATAAACACTTACTGGTTGTGCTACATGAATCTTTCCACAATCAAGATAATACATATATTGGTTGGAATTTTTTGCTGTTACATATATCTTTTGATTATTTTGTGTTATATTAGATAATATTTCATTATTATTATCACAAAATCACAATGTTCAAGCGTTCCGTGTTAGTTTATTTTCATGTTAACCCATTCACCCCTGAAATTTCGTAATGAACTATTCCAACCATTGAATTGGAAGTGTTCAAATGTGTCTTCAGGGGTGAATGAGTTAAGGCTGTTTCACCCATAGAATTGTAAAAGTGATTTAATATCGAGAAATTGGAAGTCAGATCTGTTCTTAACACCACCACCCATGATATTTTAATATAGTTGTGTACCATCTCCCCTATACGATAAATTATGGAATAACCCTTAGATGCAGCATGTATAAAAATCCATATATTATATGTTTCCAGTCGTCAGAAGGACCAAGAAGTATCTTCCAGTACCATTTCCTTACGTGGCCAGATTATGGTGTGCCGTCAGACCCAGGCAGTGTCCTGAACTTCCTTAACATAGTTAATGCTAAACAGGAATCTATACCAAAGGCTGGCCCTATCATTGTCCATTGCAGGTAAGCAAAGTGATAGGACCTTGGTCCCCCATCCTTGTTTCTCCAAGAGTCACGCTCTCTGCAACCCAGGAATATGTCATCGCAATATTGAAGGCACGCGGCTAGCTATTTGATTGGTCTTCGGTAAAGAAACTGACCAATTGCTAGACTAGCTGGTACCTATCCTTTAAAGGTTACAGAGGAGAGACAATTTTTGTGGTTATGCTGCCACAGGCTTCTTTCCATGTACATCAAAGGATTAAACTTGTCCTCTAATTAAAAAAGTGACACATACTGAGCCTTGAATTTTTCCATGACATTTACAAAGAGGTGCAAAGAGCACTTAGTGTAACCCGTGGAGTATCAAGGATGAGGTTCCCCTCGCATAAAAAAACCTCTCAATGTCTTTAAGCAAACATATATTCTCACAAAAATGATCTGCTTACAAACTTAATCTCATATTAAGGGCCTGTCACACACTACCGAGGTACCTCGTTGGGACTCTACTGTAGTACAAAATAAACCATGGCAAGAAAATCGGCAGGGCTCAGTCGAGGAAAGCACTTGAAAAATCAAAATTGACTGTAGTAATACCTATGTACCAGCGTTCCCGTTGTGATACTGTTGTCCTACCATTGAACTACTGATGTAAGAGCCCATGTGCTATCGAATACCACTTTTCTGTTACTTTAGTGTTACTGATGCGCCACTGTTGTTCTACCAACGTGCCAACGTTGACTGGAGCTATAGCGGAGTGATACCGTTGCGCATTGCTAAGAACTGTAGTACATCATTAGTAAGATCATCTGCTGCGCAACAGTACTACTTTGGTGGTATTCGGTAATACCTTGCGGGGCACTACCAGTGCTCTACCAACATTAACGAAGCCATAATCGAGTAATGCCATTGTAGTCCCGTAACTCACTCAGGAAGCGCAACGGCAGACATTTTTGAGCAAGTTCAAAAATGTCTACCTTCATCTGCCGTTGCTTAATTTTACGCCAATGTTCCTAGCGATGTGATACCTTTGCGCTGCCGTACTAGTACCGATCCCCAAAAATTGCCGAATTTGTGCTCCGATATAAGCTCCAGCAACCCAAATCGGCTACGGGTGACAGGCCCTTTAGTAGATAATTGTCCTTTTTTTTTTAACCCTGTCTTTTATCACATAACTTAAATTACATATATCATTGTGTGTTATTTGTGAGAATTGGGTTAGAAGTTTTTTCTCCAAAACCTTTTGTTAAATTTCTTTTCAGTTTATTACAATGAAATTTTATTCTGTATTTCAGTGCTGGTATAGGAAGAACGGGAACTTTTATTGTAATAGATATAATAATAAACCAAATAAAAATGTTCGGTAAGTATTCAAAACTTTCTAAAATTTGATAACGACCGGAGATTAAAACATATATCAGGCTTCAGCAATACCTTCTCGACTCAGCCTGTCATGAACAAATGATTTTTTTTTTGTATTTTTAAAAAAAAACTTACACAAAACTTACACAAAATATAAGTTATGGTCACATTTTGCAAATTTTAACTCCTATGATTTAAAAATAATTGTTTTGATATATGAAAATTTTCTGGAATATTTTCTCACCACGATGTTTCTAAGACTTATTGACATAAAACCTCATTTTGAATGCAGGCCTGGAGTGTGAGATAGATATCCAGAAAACGATACAGATGGTGAGGTCACAGAGGTCAGGGATGGTCCAGACCGAGGCCCAGTACAAGTTTGTCTACATGGCTGTGCTACACTATCTGGAGACGGAGAAACAACGCAAGCGAGCCGAGGAAGTAAGTTCTTGGTGCCGCATCACGAGATAAATAGCTTCCAGGCAAAGGTTAAAGTGGTTGTGTTAGAGCTACAACTTTGTAACAGTTTATGAATTATTAGTGCATATTGTTATTTTTGAGCTTACACCGCCCTGATTGCTTTCATGAATGTTCTTAACTTCAATTAAAAGACATCATTTGGGATTTGGGTTTATTGTTGGTAACCATTGCTTGAGTTAAGGAAAATATTTTTAATCTCTAGAGTTTTCCTTAACTCCGTTGATGCATTTCAGTAAAAATAACTTAAGATTAACTCATAAATATAGGGCCTGTTTCCTTAAATATCTTAAATTAAGGGTCAGGATGCCTTTTTTTCACCGAAACGTGTTGTGAGATATCTCCCTTCAGACATGTCTTCTAATGTTTTAACTCAATCACCCCTAAAGACACATTTGAACTCTTCCAACTCAAAGGTTGGAATAGTTCATTATGAAATTTCAGGGGTGAATAAGTTAACATTTTAAATTTGTAACTTAAGGTTCAAATAATGTTCATTGGCTAGACAATGAGTAGTAAACTATGTGGACTTGCTAGCTTTATGACATATAAGGTCATGTTCTTAAATTGGAGAATTTTCAAGCCCAAATGCAATAAAAAAAAATAGTTTTATCTTTTATTTGAATGTCAGATGTGATTATTTTCTATCTTAACCCTTTCACCACTGTAGACCATAATGGACTCTTCCAAATTAATGAATGGTAGAGTTCACTCAAGTTACATAGGGGTGAAAGGGTTAAAAGATATGTGTAGAAAGTTAAAAACGTATATAGCAACAGGTTAACTTGAACTCTGATAAAGCAAGTCCTTCTCCTGAATGTCACACAACTAGATCCTGACATACACTGTCTTCCTTAACCCTTTCACCACTGTAGGCCAAAATGGACTCATCCAGATCAATGCATGGTAGAGTCAACTACAGTTACATAGGGGTGAAGGGTTAATTTGTTTTCTGAACTGCACTGGAATACTTGATGAATTTGAACACTTTCTCTGGACCCGACTAATACATATAAAACTGTTTTACTATGACCAAACAGTTGCTCAATGACTTTGACTTTCAAGTCAAGCTAGTTTAACTATGACACAACAAATTCGAGTTAAACTTGCTTGATTATGACCCAACTAGTTTGAGTTGAACTATTTGAACGGACTTAACATGTTCTAGTTGAAATGGTTTAACTGTGAGCCAATGAAATAAAAAAACTGGTTAGTTTTAACAGGATTTAATTGAATAAGAAAAGTGATTTGGATTCTTTCTAATTCACTATAATGTAAAGTGTGTGTTATGTTTCTGTTAAATTGTTCAATGTCTCTGCCAGGAGTCGAACCCAGGACCTGTGGCTTAGTCTTATGCTCTTTCTAAACAGAAATTTACCCTAGCCAAGTCAGTAGGAAGCGGCTAGTATTTTACCAGGGTGACATACTCCCTCTCCAGGAAAGAGCCCGTCCTGAGTTTTTCCAGAGATCATAGCGATTATTCTGAATGTATCGCTCAGTATATTTGGCGCCAATGTAACAAAGGTCATTATGTTTTCAATGCCCCTGTCAGGAGTCGAACACGAGACCTCTGGCTTACTAGTCTTATGCTCTACCGAATGAGCTAAAAGAGAAATTCTTTCTAGCAGAGTCAGTAGGAAGCAGCTAGTATTTTACCAGAGTGACATTTTGAGTGAGGTTTATATCTAAATCCACACTATATTTTACGTACTGTAACTGTGGAAAACTTACATTGTATTGTTAACTTTAATTTATGATTGCAGCAAAGTGTTGGACGAGAATATACCAACATAAAATACACTGAGGGCACAAGACAACCCCGCCCACAGCCAGCTCCTCAGCAACCCTCACGCAAGAAGGAACTACCCAAGTAAGTCACAGTTTATCAATGGGAAAGACAACAATAGAATTCCGAAATGTCAACAAAGCAATAGTTCTTACACAAAATCATTAAAACTAGGCGGAATATGAACAAAGGATGTGGGTGGTCGGGTGGTGCAGTGGATAGTGCACTTGCCTTTCACCAAGGCGGCCGGGGTTTGATTCCCCGATCGGACGTGAAAATGTATTGGGTCACCTGCCCGACCACGTAGGTTTTCTCTGGGGAACTCCTGTTTCCTCCCACATTAAGATCCCTGCACGCTGACATCCGGGCCAACAAAAGTGATGATATTAGTTGAATAACCTGTTTCATAACTGTTGAAAAAAATAAATAAAGTTTATATTTTATATATGAACAAAGGAATGATGTACTTCGATACCCTTGAAAAGGGACATACAAATGTAGATGTAGATAGATGTATCCTGGAACAGTGTTAGAATCTGTCCAATATTTCTTGAGAAGGGCCGGAGTATATACAGACCCGTTCACAATTTTACTTTCTATTTTGAGTAGCATCTGCGTAACACGTGCGAAGCCTTGAGTAGTTTTTCTGAGATGAACCATTCAGTATGTGTAAACCCTTTTCTATGAGGGACTGTTTCAAACTTTGTTAATGAAAGATTTAAACAGTTTTGTGTTGATGAAAAAAATGGGTTAGAGCAAATCTGTTGTGATTTGGTTTTAGTCATGTTCTGTATAACAGTATCGAACAAAAACAACACAAATACAAGGGAAAATGAGATCCAGTGTCCGCTAGTGGATGTACAGTGAAGTTCTGCGTACCCCAGATAATGGATTTCTAAGCGGAATTCATTAGTCCGGCCATAAGAGTAATGTAAAAATTTAAAAAGAGGAGATGACCAGATAAATTAAAAGGAGATGACCAGACAACTTCAAATGGGAAGTCTCGGCAAATTTTGATAAATGCCGCTCACAGCTAGCATTCAACAATTCTAGCACTGCCCAACCACGTACTCATTTACAGCTTAGTAGACTGGAACAAGCAGAGTAAAGTATCTTGCTCAAAGATACAACACAGTGCCGTGACGTGACTCGAACCGGCAACCCTTTGGTCACGAGCCCGGCGTCCTACCACTAGACTACCCTGTCTTCTACTTGTGTGTTGTCATTTTGTTAGGCTATACACTATAACCTGAAAAGTCTATATTTTATTGGTTAGCCAAAATTAAATTTTTAGCCCACTATCATCAGATGGTGGCCTTTTCAAATCACCCTTTGTGGTCCGTGGTCTGCCGTCCATCCTTAAACAAATCTTGTTAGAGCTATATCTCAGAAAGAACTGGAAGGATCTTTCTCAAATGTCACTTGAAGGTTCCCCTTGGACCCTAGCTAGTTACACATATCTAAGTTTTTGGCTGATCAGAAAACCAAAAAGGCTGGCCATCTTGAATTTTGAGAGTTTAAGTTTGTTAGCGCTATTTCTCACAAATTACTTAAGAGATCTTTCTCAAATTTCACATAAAGTTTCCCCTGGTCCCTAGTTATGTATATCAAATGTTTGGGACTAATCTGTCATGTGATACTAAGTATGTGTTTTCATATAAATAATGTGTTTATTTTATAGGACACCAGAGGAATCCAACCAGATTTACCAAAATGTTCCAAAGAGATAAGGACCATAGACCTTGGACCTTAGACAGATGTCCTGTGATCCACAACTGGCTTCCCATTACTGTTGATACCTGTGTCAGGATTGGCTGTTATTGGCTTTGACTTACATAATCCTGTATCAAACATTCTGATTGGCTGTTACTGGCTTTGACTTACATAATCCTGTATCAAACATTCTGATTGGCTGTTACTGGCTTTGACTTACATAATCCTGTATCAAACATTCTGATTGGCTGTTACTGGCTTTGACTTACATAATCCTGTATCAAACATTCTGATTGGCTGTTGATTGTGTACATTTATGTATTGAACATTCTGATTGGCCATTAAGTTGAAGCGTTATCAAACATGTATTCCCATTGATAGAGAGAGATTTGGGCGGAAATTGAATGGAATGCAAATACATGTTACCATGGTTACATAATATTTCAATGTTAATTTAAATTTTTGTTATGTCTTTATTATATGTAATTACTGTGATTGTATCACAGGAGAATTATTGCTGAAATTACATATAATTATATATATTGACTGTATATGTGAATCATGAGCAAGCATATAGTGTAACAATCACCTGTCCAAGACAAGGCTATTAAAGTCTCTTAAATACACTCATTACTTTAATATATTTGAAGTAATTACAACCGATATGTACATATATATACATGTATCTCAAAGGTAAAACACCAATATACTTGGATAGGATTCAAAATCAGGAGCAGGATTTCTGTTTTTTTGTCAGATATGTATAACTTATATCAAGAGATTAAGATATTGTTGTAGGTACTATTTGATTTTCTTTAATAATGGATTTTTGGGGGCGGTTTGTCCTTTATACCAAACTTTTTATCGAAGTATACAGCTAGTTTGTATTTTCAAATGGAAAAACAGATGTGATTAGATTGTCAGGGCAAAATAAAATATAATTCTTTTTCCCCAAATATTGATAACAGGACTTAATTTTCTGGCTTTGATCCAACAATACATTATATTGTCGCCACTGTGTTGGTTTCGTTTTTGGCGCAATTGTTGACATTCTTTTATTTCACCCTTTCACCACTGTAAACCATAATGGACTCATCCATATCAATGCATGGCAGAGTCTACTAAAATTACATAGGGGTGAAAGGGTTAACCATCAGCTTTTGTACAGGGATGCTGATCTTTGCGTGGATATTCCCTAAGGGTTAAACAATGATACAGTACAGTCAACAAACTGAGCAAAAATGGACCTCTTTTTAAGTACTTAACTATTTTTTGATATTCTTTTAATAAGCAAGCTTTGTCGTTTTCCAATAACTCTTGTTAGGAACAAAAGAAAAAAGAGCTCAGACTAGGTCTTTCCAGGATTAACTCATTCACCCCTGAAATTTCATAATGAACTATTCCAACCTTTGAATTGGAAGAGTTCATATGTGTCTTCACGGGTGAATGAGTTAAGATATGTAGACCATGAGCTGGTGTTGGCGTTTGAGTGACTCCACTTTGTGATGTTAATGTTTTCCCCCCGTCTGCGCTAGTGGTTTGACTGATATCAAAGAAACGAACAGTCTATTTGAGTGACATAGGGGGGAGAAGCTCCGATAGTGATTATTGTTAGTGTAGCATACATGGTGCTCATTTGTTATGGATATTATTGTTGATCTTTTTGTATTGTTCTTTTGAAGAAATCGTGATGTTGACAGTTTAGCGTATTAAAAGCTGACTAGATATAGGGGTTTATTGATACGAGGCGAGTTATCAAGATCGTTTGATTGATTGGCTGACAATCTGTGATTGGTTATTATGTGTGATGAGGCTAGAAATAGTTTCAGAACCTATTATTGAATAAATCCTGTAGTTAAACATATATTTGTTCCCATACATTTGTAATAGTTTACAGATTAACTCGTGTTAATCTCGTCATTTTCTGTCATTTTCATTTTTTGGGCAGAATCCACATATCTTGGTATTATATTAAATTCTGTTCATTTTTAATCCAGATTTTACTTTGCTTGTCATGGCAACATCGAAATATTATCAAGTTTCCGAAGGTGATTTGAACAAATTCCAGAGCTGAGGCCTGTTTATTTGTGCGAATGGACTGGTTAATCTACTTTTAAATACACGTATCATGAATTCAGAGGAGGAAAGGAAAATGGCCGAGGCCTTGAAAATCTTTCTCAAATCTTCCAGAAAGTAACATCAGATTATAAGGCCTGTTCCTCTCTCGTAAATAAACAACTCTGGTCTAAGCATTCAAATTAGTGAAAATGCAATAATCAAACGCGACCTTGAAGGGTGGTTTGTCAAGGTGACAGTTTTTGGAGATATGTCATTTGCTAGAGAGCCATTTCAGAGAAGAAGTCTTTTCTCTGTGGATGGTATAAAGAATACTTTGTGGTCATGGTAACCACTGGAATGCCATCAAGACAATGTGACAATACGAGGTCTAAAACCAACGTGTTCACGGTCTAGTAATTAATATATATAAGATCAATATTATAAGGACTGACAGCACGTAACTCTTTCTGAAGAACTGTTGTGTGAACTTAGTTGCAATGGTACTTAAATTCTTCTAAGCAAATACCACTCATCCAAGATAATTTCAAATACATACTGAAGATTGACATTAAATTGCAACCTTGTCTGTGTTTTCCATTTTTCTTTTTCATTTCTTTTTCAACATTTGAAATTAAATTTTCAGATCAAGTAACATTGTATATGATTCATGGTAAAACTCATTAAAAGTTATTGTAAGAAGTTTTTTCTTCAGAACTTTGAATTATCATACTACATGTATTGTAATTTAATGCTTTTAAAATTTGTAATACAACTTGACACCAAAGAAAGGGAGTTTATGAGCATTAAATATTGAAATATTTCATAATTTTTTGATGAAGTCCCTACTGTAATGTGAGCACATCAGTAGTTGTCTGCTGTCAGACTCACTAGAAATATTAGGTGACAACTGGAAGTTAGTTCATTGTACCGTGTAAAATGTACATTAAATTATATAACAGTGTGTCGCTTAGTAGATATGCATGTTTGCATTGATGACTAGCATACTAAGTAAGTATATTTTTGATCGATAAACACCAGTATCAAACCTCTAAAAAGGGAAGTTTCAGTGAAAGGCATTCAGAATTATTACCGGTCTATTAAGTTTGACACTTAATTCATGTGAAGAATTATGAATTGTCAATTTAAAAGTTTGATTTATAAGAAATGTAACAGAAATGTAACATTTTTGGTGTGAATTTCTAACACCAAATATTTTTTTTTAATAATTTCTTCAAAACTTCAAACAAGTACCATGGATATGTGTAACTAGCCTGCCACTGTCTCATCCGGGTGACAGATTGAATTTTTCTGCTGACAATAATGTTGTAGAATAGCCAGGAGAAGAACTTACAGCTGAGAAGAGCTATACCAATATTGTTTTTAATTGTTATCATTGTGCTGTAATTCTAGAAGCTCCCCCGGAAAAGCGACAACATTATTTGGTGTAAATATTGTGTATAATTGTTTTTTGTGATATTTTTGCCACCCGTATTGTTTCATTTTTGTACGTACGGTAACTGTTCCATACATTTGTAAGTATAACAAGATTCACTGTACACACTCACAGGTAAATAATATAGGGCATCTTCTGTATCTTTTTCACTTTTTTCACAGCAGTATCTACTTTTAGGAGGCCTCGCTCTGAATCACTTACATTTTTGGCAAGATATTATTTATTTTTATTTGCGAGGAGGCATTTTAGCAAATTTCCATCTTCTGCAACTATTAATTCCATAGATACTTACATCAAGATGTAAAAGTCTCTTTGAAAATTAGAGTTCCAGTATTTCTTGAATATAACCTGCGGGCACTTGGGATTTACTGTTTACTAAGAGGAAACATATTTAACTGCTAGTATTTTTGTCCAATTAAGAACTGCTGGTTTAGTATGTTTACATTCTGTTACAAAAATCCATTTATATTTGCTGATATATTGCTTTTGCTGAAATATTTTCAAAACATTCATTTGGTTCATTTACAACTACAAGAGGAATTTCTCTTTTTGTTTAAATATTTTTTTATCTAGATCCTGACAAAGTTGTACCTGTACTGGAGTACCAACACTGTTTAAGGTTTTGTTCTATTATTTTTTTATTTTATTTTTTTACAACAAATTGAGACATTCAGAACAGTACATAAAAGTAGTGATCGAAAAAATTTGTAAAAGCAGAAATTAACCAGTAAATATCAATCAATGGGCATCTTTGTGTATCCAAATTGACTGAAAAAGTTATTCTAAATCATTTATACTTTAAAATGAGGAGCTTAAGAACCCACTTTCAGATATAAGACATTTTTTACATTTTAAATATTTCAATTTGCAATACATTGAATTTTCATTTCATAAAATTTGATTACTAAAATATCATATCTGGTGAAAATTGTGTTAAATTAATTGGTAGAAAGTTCCAAAATTAAATCTTTTCCCTGTTAAAGTAGATATTAGTTGAAACAAATTATTGTAGGTTAAAACTATATAATTGGTTCTGTTTCGGTTCTGGTCCCTTTGGATATATTCGTGTTGAACTCTGGTCAAGATGTCTTCCAAACATGAACATTCTGTATATCTTGTCCTCAAATAGCATGGCAGATGTGTTCATTACCAAAGATTGTCTGATTTTTGAGGAGAGAAATAAACAGAGAAGAAACAGTGCTCTCCAAAATAAATGGTTATGAACTTGTATGCTAGTTTTTCCTGACAGCTAAATGTATGTAAGCATAATATTTAGGTGTTTTGCACCTTTTTGTTAAAATGATGACTTGTATGAACTGTCTTGTTTATTATTGAATTATGACAGAATTAATACAAAATTCCTGATACTTGTTTCCTTCTTTTACACAATAAATCCTACTTCAGGTAACCTCGGAGGTTCCAGAAGGACATTGTAATTGACCAGTTTAAATGTAAGGATGATATGATCAGCAATGAAGCGTCTTTGAATGAAGAGGGGTTTTGTCTCCTCCGGATTTCAGTTAAACAAGTTCCCTATTCATAAAACCATTGTCATACTTCATTTGAACTTCTGTATTAAGCTCTTTTCCTCACACATGTCAGGAAGTACCTGATAATATTTTTTATTGTTATTTACGAAGTAGGTGCTTAGTCTAAACTTGTACCGGAAAATGTTTGATTTTTATCACGTAGCAAGACTTGTATAGATAACAAGGAAGACAGTTTCAGCTCAAACCTGGAGTTTGGGCATGATAACGGTTTATGAATGCAGGCTCTGATCCTACTGTATACCAAATATAGCTTTGATCATTCTTACTTCTCATGTACTTGTAATACATACATGTCTAACATTGAATCGTTTGATCTGCCAGTCAGATTTATTTGGGAAATGAATGGAATTTTGCAATGTTCGACAGGAACGATGTTTATATTATCATTATATCACATTCTGCATCATTTCAGTGTTTCAATGTATCATATACTGATTTTAAGATTTCAGTAACGTTACTTACTAAAATTTAATTGTAGATTTTAGAACTATTAAATATTCATAATTGCATGTTTATTAATTTTTTGAAAGTGATATTGAAAATTTTATGTAATATAATTATGTATATACAGCTGATAACGATGCAATTTTTTTAAGTAAATCTTCAAACAATATGGAATCTTGGCTATATAGTACTATATGGCCAGGTGAACTTTGACTTCATGTGACCATGTGACCTTGTGAACTTTGACCTCTAACCCAGTGTTTCTGACATCTCAATAATCATAGAATGTAAGTTTGAATCATTGTTAAAACCTACAAGCAAATGTGCTAAAAATAGCAGAAATAAGCAAATCCAGACACTTTGTGGACCTTTTCAGTTTAATATTTCATTATTGGACTGATTCAATTATAGAAATTGGTGGTTGTTCATGTACTTTTGAGTCTGAAGGAGCTATGGATATTATAAGACTCTTTCATGCCCAGGGGTGTAGGATAGGAAATTCCAACCGAGGGGTTTCCAAAGCCTCAGGTTTTACCAATTTCCCTATCCTACACCCCTGGGCATGAGAGAGTATTTTTCTCTCATCCCAACTACCGAAATAAGCTCAGAAACCATGAAAATGCATTTTGACTGGCCACAATTTTGAAAATATCAATTTTTCCCCTGAGCTTTTGAGACTAAAATGAATATGTCAGCCGGATTTAGCATACCCCATATTTGCAAACACCGTTTTGCGCAGAAAAAATAATCACAGCTTTCTAACGTATACGGTAAATATATATCGTAAAAGGTTTTAATTTCCTCACGTCGCCTTTTCCGCATTGCGGCATCGAAGATTTCCAAATTTGTGATGTCACATCATTGGTGAGCCACGTCACGTGCAATGGGGTGTAAGATAAAAAAAATCCTTCACCCCTTTCTTACCCTGGACAGCTCTATCTTGCACACAGGGAAATGAGAGAAATGTATATTTATTTTAAAAAGAAACCTGTACTTTTAAAAAAGGCCGATAGGCTAGGGGCGGGACATGAATGAATTGGATCTACCATACCTCACAGATTTCTTTTTTTTTACTTTTCTGAAACACCGATCAATTACAAAATCTGAACAATGATGGTGTTGCTAGCAAACTGTTCACTATACTGGACATCAGGGAGGATGTGCACCTAAATTGAATTAATATTTGGGAATAAGTCAGCAGGTTGGACAATTTTCATAGAGGTTTTCATATTCAAAGGATATATTCCTTTGACCTTCAGCACCTCTAAAAATTATGGTTCATTTGTGCTTAAAAATGGATAATTCTTCCATTTTAAGAACTTTGAAGCCGAGAGTCATATGATTATATTTTGCATGCAATCTACTGGGCGTAGAGTGTTATTGGGTTTAATTGAAGAAATAATCTTTACCAATTTTCAAGGTCACAAGAGACACATGAAGTAATTTTCATGCTTTTCATTTTTCTATGATAATCAATAAAATGTAGATTTTTTTTAATAACATTGTAATCAATGGAAATCACCAAAAAATAATCAGGTTTTTTTCTTCCGAGTAAACTGTGAAACAGTTTGAATTTGTTACACTTCCCCATCATGCCAAAAGGTGGTGTACCTACTGTTTAGTACAATGTGCAGTGTTGTATAGAAAATAGATTCTTGCTGTTTGTGTCAAAATGTCAAATAAATTTCGTATATATATATATATTATATACTTGTGTGTCCTGTGTTATATTCAACACTTACCTGACACTTTGTGGCTGTAGAACATAGGAGCAATGAAGAAAGAAACTAACCAAGTCAGGAATTGTCGGACCACAAAGGCCAGGAATATTCTGACTAACAAGGTAGAAACTTCGGACATTCCCATACAAAGGCAGATCCTGGTAAAAAAAAAAACTCTGATCAAAGTGTAAGGATCAAGAAACGTGCCTACCCAAGTCTTGTTTTTTCGGATCAAATTGTTAAAAGCATTGTAGATTTTTTTTTATCTAATGGTAGAAACCAAGATAGGAATATTCTGGTCTACTAGTAAACCAAATTCAGAAGAGTTTTGATTTCAAGAATTGAAATCAAAACAGGGTTTCTGACCAACAGGTAGATCTCGAAGGCGGCATGGGCATTCTGATTTAATTGAAAACTTCACAGGACTGACAACGATATTCTACACGAAAAGTTCTGCCAAGGAAAAATATTCTGATTCACAAATTACTACCGTCAAAATTTGCTTGTTTGTTTGCATGGAGTGTAATGTTCAATGTCATAAGCAGACTGGTACATAGGGAGACATCCAATGTCACTAGCAGACTGGTGCCTAGGTAGACATCCAATGTCATTAGCAGAGTGGTACATAGGGAAACATCTAATGTCATGAGCAGACTGATACATAGGGAGACATCCAATGTCATTAGCAGACTGGTGCATAGGGAAACATCCAATGTCATTAGCAGACTGGTACATAGGGAAACATCCAATGTCATGAGCAGACTGGTACATAGGGAGACATCCAATGTCCTTAGCAGACTGGTGCCTAGGGAGACATCCAATGTCATTAGCAGACTGGTGCATAGGGAGATATCCAATGTCATAAGCAGACTGGTACATAGGGAGACATCCAATGTCATTAGCAGACTGGTGCCTAGGGAGACATCCAATGTCCTTAGCAGACTGGTGCCTAGGGAGACATCCAATGTCCTTAGCAGACTGGTGCATAGGGAGACATCCAATGTCCTTAGCAGACTGGAGCGTAGGGAGACATCCAATGTCCTTAGCAGACTGGTGCATTGGGAGACATCCAATGTCATTAGCAGACTGGTACCTAGGGAGACATCCAATGTCATTAGCAGACTGGTGCATAGAGAGACATCCAATGTCATTAGCAGACTGGTGCATAGGGAGATATCCAATGTCATAAGCAGACTGGTACATAGGGAGAAATCCAATGTCATTAGCAGACTGGTACATAGGGAGATATCCAATGTCATTAGCAAACTGGTGCCTAGGGAGACATCCAATGTCATTAGCAGACTGGTACATAAGGAGACATCCAATGGCATTAGCAGACTGGTGCGTAGGGCGACATCCAATGTCATTAGCAGACTGTCACATAGGAAGACATCCAATGTCATTAGCAGACTGGTGCATAGGGAGATATCCAATGTCATAAGCAGACTGGTACATAGGGAGAAATCCAATGTCATTAGCAGACTGGTACATAAGGAGACATCCAATGTCATTAGCAGACTGGCGCGTAGGGCGACATCCAATGTCATTAGCAGACTGTCACATAGGAAGACATCCAATGTCATTAGCAGACTGGTGCATAGGGAGGCATCCAATGTCATTAGCAGACTGGTACATAGGGAGTTATCCAATGTCATTAGCAGACTGGTGCATAGGGAGATATCCAATGTCATAAGCAGACTGGTACATAGGGAGAAATCCAATGTCATTAGCAGACTGGTACATAAGGAGACATCCAATGTCATTAGCAGACTGGTGCGTAGGGCGACATCCAATGTCATTAGCAGACTGTCACATTGGGAGACATCCAATGTCATTTGCAGACTGGTACATAGGGAGACATCCAATGTCATTAGCAGACTGGTGCATAGGGAGACATCCAATGTCATTAGCAGACTG